ACCTCTCTTATCTAGGTGGGTGTGCAGACATAACAATGTGTGAATAAAATTGGGATTGGCTTTGACAGCACAGCGCCAAAGCGGCTCATAAGAACCTGGCGACGACAGCTGCAGTACTGACAAGCCAACAAACAAAAAAGCCCCATGGTGGCGAATCTTTACAGAAGCTCTTCGTTCTTTTATGGGTAGACTGGTGGGCTCGAACTGCTGACCTTGCAGTTAGCCCCTCCATGTGTAACTACTACGCTAGCAGAGCACAAGCACGTGTTCTAATATTCCCATTCTTTGCGGTGTTTTCTATAATTTATGAGGATTTACACAGTTGAATGGCTGCCTTTGCAACAAAACAAAACACAATATCTTTCTAGTAATCTCTGCTTACAACCAAGATCCATCTGGCAATATCTAATCCATCTGCTCCATCTTTTCAACAGGATAAAGAGGCGCTAGAGAAACAGCAGATGAATCACTTGATCTTGGTGTCCGAGCTGCAGACTGAACTTGAGGAGGCTAAATGCCGTCTGCCTCCGGCCGTCACCCCTGTTCTGACAGCTGAAGCACAGCCGGAGACAGTGGCAGTGGGGCTCCCACAGAGTGAGCGAGAGGCAAGCATGGGTGCCCAGCACTGCTGCTCAGGGGCCCCAGGTCCCATGATTATACTGGTGGACCTGGACCAGGCTCTTTGTGATAAATATTTTGGCCGTATTCTTTCAAAATGTTTACAGCTTTAAAAATAATTATTAAGTTAACTAATATTAGAAAATTGTTCAAACTTCTTTTGTTTTAATGAAAGGTTTTGGACTTAAAAGAGCAACTGGAAGAAGTTAAAGATAATTTAGCAAGTAAAAATGAGGAAATACTACATTTGACTTTAAAATTAGATGTGCAGACTCGCCACAATGCTTCCAGCCTCAGGGCACTCCACGAGGAGAACACCCACTTGAAGGTGAGCTACAGACACTGAAGTGAGGGTTCAAGTGTGCAGCAAGTCTCTAGATGGTCCATCACAGCAAAGACAGAACTCTGAACTATTCTAAGATGCACACGAGCCCCTCCCCAGAGACCTGGCATGTCACCCTAGCTTTCCTTGATGCTGCTCTGAAGATAGTGGCTGGGGCAGGGGCTTAGAAGAGAAGCCATTCCCAGGAATCTTGAGTGGGCCAACTCATCATTCTCTGACCACTAAACCTCACCTGCGCTTACCTCCTACACAAAACACCCCTCTGTTGGCAGGTATGATATTTGTTGGAGTAAAATGCCAGGCAAGGCACTTTCTGTATGGCAACACTGTGGGAGAAAAGAAGTAAGTTGCAGCTGTGGTTTAGGCCACAATAGAGTGGTTGAGATTGATTTTAGTAAATATTCACTATTGTTATCCTTCACACCAGCATGATTTTAAAAATCAAATTTTAAAGCTCTTTTGTTATTTTAATGTAACTGCTTTTGAACCAAAAAAAAAAAAAAAAGCAGCCTTTATATATTGGGGATAATATTCATTCAGAGTTGTAAAGAAATTGTATCTTTAAAAGATGACCTTGAAACAGATTAAGTTTAGAATCATGGTGTGAGGTGCTCCCTGGTACAGGTTTAATGAATGAAGAAACAACTTTAAGAGAAATTTTAGGATGTGCCATTATTTACCCTCTGAGCCCTGCACAGGTCGTATCTTGCAGTTTGAAAGTATCTCCAGTGAAAAGTGAGATTGATGCAAACTCCCCTCGTAGCCAGTGATCGTTTTGTGGGAATTCTGTCGTAGTAAGTGGGAGAGAAGCAGCTAAGAGAGCCCTCAACTTGTCTTGTTGGTGGTCCTGAAACAAGTTATCTAAGGAAATACTGTAATTGATAAGTGTTTGTATTTAAAACCACAGGGTAATTAAGAGTACTTTATCTATCCTTATTAAGACATACTACGGAGTACTGCCCAAAAAACAAACAAACAAACAAACAAACAAACAAAAAGGAATTTTCCCCAAAGCTTTATATTTAAATTTTTTCTTACAAAACAACCATATCACCTTCAAAGTACTCTCCAGTATACTTAATACATTTGTCAAATCTGCGATTCCATTCTTGGAAACATTTTTCAAACTCATCTGTGTGGATGGCTGATAGTACCTCCCTTGTTTTTTTCTTCACTCCCTCTACTACTACATCAAACCACTGCCCTTCCATGCCCT